TTAAGGGTAAGTATTAGGATTTTTTTTTTTGCGTTATCAGTGTATTTGTTATAATAAATTAAAGGGTAGAATTTCAGTCAAAGAGAATGATAGAGCAAGATTCGTCGTGGGAGTTGCTTTGAGAGTGTTACGTATTACTGGATTCAATTATGCCAACCCCGACCTAGCCATTTTGGGCAAGAGGCTAACAGACATGACTATGAAACATTGGCTGAGGGTTAGCTCCAAGTCATCACTGTAACCATCTACACTACACACTGTCTTCCATCTTTATCACTATATTCATCACTGTAACCATCTTTATCACACTAACTTCACTGTAACCATCTTTATCACACACTATTTTCACTGTAACCATCTTTATCACACACACTAACTTCACTGTAACCATCTTAATCACACTATCTTCACACTACAACCATCTTAACTACACACTATGTTCATCACTAACCATTTTCACTAAATACTGTTTTCATCAATGCATAAGAGAAATTAAAATTTAATCATGTTGAAAATACCATGCAAGTGAAGTTAGTTTCATATTAAGTAAGACTGGAAATTAGTGTAATTTGCAATTTCATGCAAGAGCAAGTGGACATGGAGCTCGACCCTGACCCGCCTATGACCATCCCCGGACAAAGACCAGACACCCTGCAAAGTTGGTTGAGGCTAGCTCTAAGCATCTGGCCAACCTCACCAGACAGACAGACATAGGTAGACATTTTTCGTTTATACACATACAGAGATACTAGAAACAAATCCAAAAAGTGGAATAATGTAATTTCAAGCTTATCACAAACACACACACACACACACTTATACCACATTGTGTGACCCTTGTAGTGAAAGTGTGGCCTCAGAGCCCCATCAGTCACACCATGACTCCTTACCTGATGAGGCGGGAGAGACGTCTGCTACAGTGGCTGCAGCTGTGGAGTCATCGATGTCTTCAGAACTGAGAGGTGGGAATCTCCGCTCCGTTTTCCTTAGGCACCTGGCTGGCGGTGGACCTGGTGGTCATGGTCATGGCGGTGGTAGACTCCTCCCTCGTGCACTGCGTCGTAAACACGTCGTTCGACTCCATTTCACGAGCTTTGGTGCTCTTCGGCCCTCGACGGCGCGGGAAGACCGAGTTCTCGACCGCCAGGGAGCTGTTAGCGTCCTTCCTGGTGGCGCAGATGCACGCCTTCATGAAGCTCTTCTTGAAGTTCTCGCTGAGGAAGGCGTAGAGGATGGGGTTGATGGCGGAGTTGATGTAGGAGAGGCAGGAGGAGATGAGGAAGAGGATGACCATGAAGGGACTCTGGCCCTCGCCCGGGGGACTGAAGATGAGCGCCAGCTGCAGCACCCAGTACGGCAGCCAGCACATGACGTACACGGAGATCACCGTCAGCACCATCTTCGTCACCTTCCTGTGGCTCTTCTTCTTCTCTTTGGACCGGGTCTTGGGTCCCACGGACTTGAGTTTCTGCAGCACCAGCGCGTAGAAGATGAAGATGAGGACGAGGGGGATCCCGAAGGCCAGGACGAAGGAGTAGAGCGTGAAGACGAACTGGCCGCTGATGCCGAAACTGTCGGGCCAGAATATGTTGCAGTTGACGAGGTCGTTGTACTCGAGGGTGTTGGAGTACATGAAGACCGGGACGATCATGAGGGCCGAGGTGGTCCAGGCCGTCAGGGACACCAGCTTGGAGATCATGGGCGTCCGGAACTTGGGGGAACTGATGGGGTGGCAGACGGCGATGTACCGGTCGGCGCTCATGATGGTCAGGAAGAGCGAGCTGGTGAACTGGTTGAGCGACGTCGTGATCATGTACAGCTTGCACATGAAGGTGCCGAAGGCCCAGTAGCCCAGCACCGACGTGATCATCAGGAACGGGATCCCAACCACGAAGAGCTCGTCGGCGATGGCCAGGTTGACGATGTAGAGGTTGGTGACCGTCTGCATCTTGGAGAACCTGGTGACGACGTAGATGACGAGGGTGTTGCCGCACAGCCCCACCAGGAAGGCCACGGCGTAGCACGTCTGCATGACGATGTTGGCCACCATGTGGATGGGGGAGACCTCGCCGGAGAACACCCCCAGCGAGCAGTTCTGCGCCGCCTCCGAGTCGCTCACGTTCAGGTACGAGCAGTTCAGGGGGAAGGAGTCGCCTCCGTCGTAATCCAGGAACAGCGTCGCGTTCATGGTGTTTGTTCCACGGTACATGGCTCACTTGAGGTATGTACTCCAGTCTCCTACCGACGTTGTGACGCAGGAAATGTCATATTGGAGTCGCCCCATAAAAAGAACCAGGTCTGCTAGTCTTGCCATGACTAAGGGGAGTCAAATGGCATTCTTAATTCATCTTTGATAACTAAATTCAATGATGTACTAAAAAATTTTATTGATGTGAAATTAGACAAAAATGACTACTTCACAATGTCTTCACCACCAATAAGGGCGGGTATATGACACCAGAGATGTCATGTGAGGGAATATTTTCTCCTCACCCACATCCCTATACCTAGGTGAAGTACGCTCGCTCTCTCTCTCTCTCTCTCTCTCTCTCTCTCTCTCTCTCTCTCTCTCTCTCTCTCTCTCTCTCTCTCTCTCTCTCTCTCTCTCTCTCTCTCTCTCTCTCTCTCTCTCTCTCTCAACTTGCTCCTTACGCTCCGGAAACTCTTCCTGCAGGATTCAAGAGGCTTCTTCGAGCTTCCTCACACTACTTCTGGACGCAGGGTGAGCTCCAGGTGTCTGGAAACGTCCATCATCCACTACGGCATGAACTGTCTTCGCTGGAACATCCTGGAAAAGGACAAACAACTAAGTATACAGCATCGGAGGACTCGGGTTCGGTTGTTAATACCGGGCGGTTGATGGAGAGTGTTCATAGGATGGAAGATGGTTATGAGGGTGATTGCATGGGTGGTAGATTGTGTGGGTGGCCAGTTGTATGGGTGGTCGGTTGCTTGGGTGGTGAATTCTGTCGGCTGTGGGTGCATCGTCACCTCCCGCTCACAAAACAGAGAACCAGGGAGCAAGCTGAAGGTTCCACCTTTAATCCAACACCATTACCATGGGGGGGTGAAGGGGGGGGGGTAAGGCTGACCTTATCCCACGATGCGCCTCTTCATCTTTATTGTTTTATTTCCCTTCTCTCCTACGTCTGCCTCTTTATTCCTCTCTCTTCCTAAGTCCCCCCCCCCCTACCTTTCCTTCCAGACCCGTATTTCTCCCATTTTCTTACCTTTCATCTCTGCTTCCCTACCTCTCTTCTCCTTCCTTTGTTTTTAACTGTTTCCCTCGTTCATCGTTCCCTAAATTCGCATTATTTTTGCTTTGTCTCCAATACTTCTTCATTTACCCACCTTCTGCTCCTTCCTTTCTTTTACCTTCTTTCACACATCTATACTGATCCCCCTCATCCCTTGGTCAGCAGTTCACTTCTCCCATTCTCTGTCTTGTTACCATTTGCACCTTCCCATCTGTCTCGTACTCCACACCCATTTCCCCCTCTCACTTTCACTCATCACCCCTTCCCCACTCTTCCTGGCACTCCACACCCCTTCACTTGTCTCTCAAGACCCATTTCGCTACAGAGCTTTGCCAACTAAAAATGTATGTTGCCTGAGCTGATTATAGAAGACTAGCAGGCCCCGATAATGGCCTGAATCACCAGCCCGGTTGTTGGCTATAATGACTTGACTCACCACCCCTGTTGTTGGTTATAATAACTTGGCTCACTACCCCTGTTGCTGGTTATAATAACTTGACTCACCAGCCCTGTTGTTGGTTATAATAACTTGGCTCACTAGCCCTGTTGCTGGTTGTAATAACTAGACGTCTGCCCGTCTGAACTTTGTTCCCCCATAAGAGCAGAACACAGTGAGGGTGAGAGCGAGTCCACAACAGTGCCTGACTGAATGTTAACCTTTACCATGTGAGGTTAACTTTATCAAAAACTCGAGAGCAACTCTAATGTTAACACTCTCTCGACCTTCGCTTGCTGGAGGAGGGAGGGAATTGTCAGGTGAGAGCGCCAAGCCATTACGACTATATAGCACTTGGTAGGGGTCAGGATAAGGATTTGGGATGGGTCGGTGGGGGGGAAGGAATGGTGCTCAACCACTTGGACGCTCGGGGGATTGAACACCGACCTGCATACAGCGAGATCGTCGCTCTTGGTTAATTTGATTGTAAATTTGGTTAATGGTCTCAGCCAGTAGAGTCCCTCGAGCAAGGTCATGAGAAGTATCAATAAAATGATATGTAAAGAGACATAAATACCTTTCATATACAGTTAAGATGATACAAATATAATAAGGAAACTGCAGAAGGTCTTCTGACCTATACGACGCAGCTCCTATTTAAATCCATCCCAACTCATTCATATATATATGTCTAACCTACGCTTGAAGCAATCAATCAAGGGATCCACCGCCTATTGTGTTACCCGGAAAACTGTTCCACAAATAACACGGTTTCCAAACCAGTATTTACGAAGGTCTATCTTGAATCTAAACTTATCCAATTTATATCCATTGTTTTGTGTTCTATTCTGTCAAGATATATTTAAAAATCTATTTACATCCCCTTGTGTTATGCCCTTTCATCCGTTGATATATTTCATTCATGTCAACAATAAACACGGTTATAGTGTTATTATTTATTAGTGCTCTCACGTCTCTTGACATACAATATGCTACCGGCCAACACAAGGGAGAATATATATTGAATATTCCAAGATAGAAATCCTATAATAAATTTTATGTTATACAAACAGCATGACTTGGGGACCATTCAAGCTTGAAGCACAAACAACATATTGAAGGTCATATACCACATAATGAGTATGAGCGACAGGCAGTCTTCAGTAAGAGCTTCAGCACTGCTCCTGGTGAGGTCGGGATCACCAGGAGCAATACAGGTATTGCTCCTGGTGAGTTACGTATACAATCACAACCTTTCTCGCGGTCGATGGTGAGTGAAGACACAAATTAACGACATTAATAATAACATTTATTAATTTGAAAAAGGCTTTAACTAAAGGGTGACGTATTATTATATTAATCTGCTAAACTAGATAAATGTAGTTAACGTCTACAATGAATACAAGAATGATCTTTCCAACGAAACGCCCTTTGCAAATTTCAAGGCTACATAGTTTTCAGGAAACTTGGCGCTCCTTAAAGTAAAGTCTTAAATCCCAATTTGTTTACTGTGCTAATGAAGTGTAACTGCATGAAATCACTCCCAGCAGGTCCGCCGAAAGAACATCAGTAGCTTAACTGAGAAAACCAAGGCGTTTAACAGGCATATTGATAATTATAAAAGTATACCAAAAAATACAACTTAAGGTTAATAACATACCTGTTGACTAATACCTTGGAATCTTAATATCTTGTAACTAAATGTGAATAAAAAAAATTGGATCAACAATTTAATGAGAGATTCGGCTCTCAGAACTGTAGTTAGGTATAGAGCCTTCAATACGGAGGCATAAGTCCCACATCGTTTACGCTAGGAAAGCACACTTGGTCTAAAACAAACACTGTCATCAAACGATTCCCCCCACTTTGCACGCTGCAGGATAACGTAAACTTGAGGGGTGGAAGATATCAATCCCTTGTCAAACAAGGGATGAGCATCTGTTCACTTAAGACCCTGAAGCAAGTCCCAGCTGCGTCTGGGAACAAGAGTTAGGATGCGGGTTTTCTTCCAGCGAGTTTTCTTCCAGCGAGTTTTCTTCCAGCGGGTTTTCTTCCAGCGAGTTTTCTTCCAGCGAGTTTTCTTCCTATTAGGGGATTGTTGTTGTTGTACATGCTGCTATGGCGGTGTATGCACTCACAGGAGGAGTGACGCTGCCCAATATACTCGCCCTCCGGGGCAAAATTTAAAATGGTGTCCTTAGCTTACATCAGATTTCTGATACACAACATTATGCTGGCCACAGTCAGGTATCATAGCAAAGGTAGGTTCGAACAAAGTCAAAATGAATCGCTCAGAATTATACTTTTATGTTAAAAAGTAACGAACTCACAATCAAACAAAACAGCAAGGTAAACCTATCATTCAAGATTGAGTAATTGAAGAAAATTCTATGATGGAACTTAAGCTATTGCGTAGTAACGAAAATTGTTAGAACACACACACGCAAAGTAATTAGTTACTTTAGATAGATTCAAAGAACAGTCACTAATGTTAAAATGTTTAGATTGTACGAATTGTTGAGAAGTTTAACAAACATGTAGCACCACCCTTGAAAATAATACCTTTTAACATTATGTAGCCCACATCACCTCATCAGTGAGACTAATCACACACACACACACACACACACACACAGTTCCTGAGCCCATTAGGCTCAAGAACCTGTACACCCGTTGATTGACGGTTGAGAGGCGGGACCTAAGAGCCAGAGGTCAACCCCCGCAGGCACAATTAAGTGAGTACAATTATGTGAGTACACACACACACGACACAACCCCATACTAAGCTTAATGCTGCTAAATTAAGCTCCTTTAAGCCACATAGGTACTCAATAAAGTGAAAGCAACATCACATACACAGGTCTCAACACAGCTACTGGGAGAGAGAGAGAGAGAGAGAAGTGCTGTGGTTGTTCGTCTGCCGGATCGTAACTACCGAGGGGACTGTAGGAGGCAACAACTGGGCATCCACGTTATAAGTTGAACTGTTAACTATTCTTAGAGCGCTCTAGGTTATTGAAAACACTGCCGCTGACAGCTTAATCATCCCCTAACAACTTATCCGCCGTCACTAGCTATAAACAGATTATAATCATGTAAAACTTGTATCTCCATGGATGTAACCTGATGCTACATAAAATATACTCTTATGAAAGGCCATCTTAATTTAGAGCGACTGAGCAAGAGAGATAAAGAGAGAGTGTTAGAGACAGAGAGAATGAGAGAGAGTGAGAGAGAAAGAGAGACCGAGATATAAGTAGCACACTATACTGGGAAAGGTAGGGAGGGCGGCCTCTAGGATGAACACCAGCGTCCCGCCTGTAGTACGTCAACCCTGTGTCTGTGTTTATAAACATGGGAAAGCAACTGAGACTAACCTTCTTCCCTGCTCTCTCTCTCTCTCTCTCTTCTCTCTCTCTCTCTCTCTCTCTCTCTCTCTCTCTCTCTCTCTCTCTCTCTCTCTCTCTCTCTTTCTCTCTCTCTCACCATGTGCCAGATTTGTGAAACAGAAAAAAACATTCCCTTGAACACTATATTGGCAGAATGTCCCATATTGACAGACTTCCTCCCCTACCCCCCCCCCCCCTTGGTGAAGATAATCAAACCTCTGTAAATAGAGTCTGAATACTGGAACACTCGGATCATTTACTACACGTGTACCCAAGATCTGGTATTTAATTCAACAGTCATGTAGTGTGTGATGAAGTTATAACTTGAGCTTGTAAAAGCACAACTCACCTGCTATGGTTGACTGTCCAATAACTCACTGTACTATATGTTGTCAAACGCTACTCTAACACCTCCTTA